GGGAGCTGGAGGGGGGAGCTGGAGGGCCCGGGGAGAGGCAGGTGTGAGCCAAGGGCAGGGAGGATGCTGTCAAGGGGCAGTGACCTTTCCAGCGGGCAAGGAGGCCTGGGGGACCTGTTCTCCCCGTCAGGGCCGGGTAGACCCAAGCCTCCAGGATGGGGCAGGTCAGGGAGCGGCCTCCTGGAAGCAGCTGTCCCTGTGTCTGAACACTGGACCCAGGAGAGACAGCGCCTGTCTCCCAGGCAGCAGCAGAGTGACCAGAGCAAATGAGATGCCTTGGGTCAGGGATCTTGAGCTCACGTCTGCTGACCTGAGAGGCAGCCACATTCGGCCACCCTCCGAGGCCATCCCGGGTACCGAGTTTGAGTTGACCTTAGGCATCAGTGAGTTCTGGCCTTGTCCCTTCATCTGCATTACATGCTGCACCCAGGCTTGGTCCTGACCTCGTTTTAGGGGTGGTATGAAGGAGGAGAGGATGCTGGGCAGCAGGCTGGGGGTCTCAGGGCTGCAGCTCTGGGCAGCAGGCAAGGACTTTGGGGCTGAGCCCAGGCCTGAGAGGCTGGCACTGCCCCTGGTGGGGGCCTGGTGTCTGGGGGCATCTCCTGGGCTGTGAGCAGGAGAGGCCAGAGCCGGGCTGGGGTGTCACGCAGGCCGGGGGATCAGGGCCCTGGGCTGATTTGGGGCCCTCTCCTGGACATGATGCCAGTGTGGTCTAAGGCTATGGAAACTTTCTTGCACACCCGGCACACACACTTACAGAGGAAACCCAAGGCCGGATGGCTGCTGCGCCCTGCCCACCTGGGCTCCCCAGTCTTCCATAAGGGCCCCTCTGGGGAACCCCCGTAGTGGCTTAAAACAGTACCATTTATGGTCTCACAGTGTCTGTGGATCAGGAGTCTGGGCGCAGCTTACCTGGTCCTCTGCTCGGGGTCTCACAAGCCTGCAGTGAGGGGTCCTCCAGGCCGAGGTCTCACTAGAGGTCAGGGTCGCCTTCCAAGCTCCTTCAGATTGCCGGCGGAATTCAGTTCCTTGGGGTGTAAGACTGAGGCGCTCAGCCCCAGCGCCACTGCCCCCACAGGAGTCCACAGCGTGTTCGCTCTTCACGGCCAGCAGGGGGCTCCCTCTGCCTTGGACTGCTGCCTTCAGGAAACACCTGGACCCTCTTTTAAGGTCTCACCTGATTAGCTCAGGCCCACCCAGGAGAATCCCCCTTTTGATTATGCGCAAGTCAACTGATTAGGGACCTTAATTACATCCGCTCAGTCCCTTCATCTTTACCATATTCTGTTGGTTAGAAGCAACTCAGAGGACCCACCTACACTCAGGGAGAGGGGGTGACAACGGTGTGGCCCCCCGGGTTGGGGATGGCAGGGCTGTCTTGGCATCAGGCTACCACACCACCTCTCCTTTCAGTTCTTCCGATTTCCAGGTGCCCCCTGCTGACCCCTCCCATCCAAGTTCAATCCCTTCCCTCTTTTTCTAAGATGTCAACTGAGAATGAAAAAGCTCTCAGACCCATTCTTTCCAGCACTTGCAATATCCAAGGGGGTTACTGACCACAAAGCTTCAAGGCCAGAGGGCTGATGGGGGGTAACAGTGGAGCTTATATGGAGCTGTTCACTCACCAACAGGCGTCAAGAACATGTCCAGCTCTGAGTGAGGCACCAAGGGGGTCAGAGAAGGGAAGAAAGCACATTTTTTTAAAAGTACTTAAAAAAATGTTTTTATTGATTTCAGAGAGAGGAAGGGAGAAACATCAATGATGAGAGTCATTGATCGGCTGCCTCCTGCACACCCCCTGCTGGGGATTGAGCCCGCGCTCCCAGCGTGGCCCCGACCATGAACCGAACCATGACCTCCTGGTTCATAGGTCCACGCTCGACCACTGAGCCACGCCGGCCAGGCAAAAGCACATTTTTTAACCTTCTAGGAGCTCCTTATGTGGTTGAGACTATGACATTGGCCGGCTTGTTTTGTTTCTCGATCAGGTTATTAGTCACATTACAGAAGAGAGACACGTGGATTGTGAGCCACTGTAAAATTTAAACGATTTGCATTGTGGTTTGTGTCCGCCCAGATTTTTGACATTGCACGTACGAAATGCGTGATAAACACCCTGGCACAGACCCCCCGCCCCCGTTTTGGATTACGGTATTTCTCCAAGTGGGTTTACAGATGAATGGAACAGTGAGAGCGCTCACACGTTTTCATGCGGTTGGTGCGTTTTCGGGAAGGCTGTGCTGACTGTCACGCTGTGGCCCCTGCCGCTGGCTGGGAACTTGCTGGTTTCCTGGTCGTGGGAGAGGCGGCCGGTCCAGAGCCTGCTGCCGGCCCAGGGATCTGTGTGGGGAGGGAGGGTGTGCGCCCGGCTCTGTGCCCGACGCCTGACAGTGGCCCACAGTGCCCTCCAGGGGTGGGTGGCGGAGGTGCAGGAGCTGGGGACACCGTTTTGCTCTGGTTGGAAATTGGAAACTGGCTCTTCTGAGGTTCCAGGGCCCCTGAAGCACGTGTGCCAAGTCCCCTGGGCGGGGAAAGTGCCGGTTTCCCCCAGGCTGGGGAGTATTTTGACTTCCTCAGACTCCACTTCTCACTGTTCCTCCCCCATAAACACCAAAGCGCCTGTTTATGGAACGTGCCAACAACCCCGTGAAGCGGCTCCGGTTATTGTCCCCATTTACAGAGGAGGAGACTGAGGTCCAGAGAGGTGCCCTGCCCAAGGGAAAACTCCGGACTTTATTTCTCAGGTTTCCCAAGAGCCAGACGGCCTTTCTTTCCACTTCGCGCTCTCTCAAGTTTCTTTATTTCAAGCAAACAGGAGCAGATACACACGGGGCCCTCTCCCAAACTCACAGGGGGCGGCAGGGGAGGCTTCCGAGTCCTCCCACCCTGGGCCGGGGCCGGGGGTACCTTCTCCTTGTGGAAAATTATATCCCGGGCCTGGTGCCTGGGAAGCTCCCACACAGCCCTGTAATTAGGGCTGCAAAGGGAGGGCCCCTGCGCCCCCTCCCTGAGCTCCCCGAGCAACATGTGTAAACAATTAAGCGGGTTTGTTTTTTCTAGAGCGCTTGGGAGGAAATGACATTGACATCCTTGCGCCCCACAGCGGGCCAGCGCCTCTGTGGGAACCCGGCCCCCGGCTTTTTCCGAAGCTGGCATTCTCTGGGCCTGCCTTCCGAGCCTCAGCCCGAGCCCCGCCGGCGTGACCCCGTCCCTCTGCAGGCAGCCCCGCCTGGCCATGCTTCATGCTTCCCTTTGATTGCAAATAGGAAGATCCGGTGCGGCTCCATCCGAGCCCCGGAGCCCCAGCCGGGCCCGGGTGGCCTGTTCGCTCGTGCTCCCAGTCCAGTGATTCGGGGGAGCAAAGGGCCACGTGTGCCAGCCCTTCGTGTGGCAAATCCCCTGGGAAGGGAGAGGGTGAGCTCCTTGTGAGGGAGGATCCTGCTTAGACCAGGAGGGCCCAGTTCTTGTCTGGGTGGAAGGGCATCTTCCAGAGACTTCTACCAGGTAGGTCTCGTTTCCAAGGTTACTTCCTGCCCAGCAGGCACTTCTACGTCCCTAAGTCAGATCCTGGCCTCCGGTCTCTGCCTTCTCCCTCAGGCCATCACCTAGTCATCAGCCCATGTCCCTGCCGCGTCCAGGACACCACCCGGGCCTGCCCATTTTGTCCCATCTGGTCCAGGCTGCTGCCCCTCCTGCCTGGACATCTGCCCTGCCCTCCGCAGGGATCTCTCTGCCTCCACACACAGCCCCGGGGGCCACTTTCTTCCCCGAGCAAACCCCTTCTGTGGTTCCCCAATGCCAGGGTGATATCCAGACTTTTAGATCTGACCACTCAAGCCCCGCTTGAGCTGGCTCCTGCTTTCCTTTATTCCACACCAGGCGACCCAACCCTGGACCTGGCCAGGAGAGGCAGCTTCTGGCTTGCCCCAGGGCCTTCACATCGGCTCTTTCCTCGGCCAGAAACTCTGTTCCCTCTCCCCTCTTTGTTTGGTGAATTCAACATTCCAGGACACCTCCTCCAGGAAGCCTGCCAGGATGCCTTAGGCTAAGTTTGGGGCCCCCTGTGCTAGGTGTAGCCTCTGCAGCCAGGGACCCTGTGTCAGCTCCCTGCTCTCCCCTCAGGGCCTGGGGTAGGGCCTGGCCCACAGCAAGTGTTTTATAATGTTTGTTTAATGTTTGTTCAGCAATAAATGGCAAGTGAAGGCCCAGAGAGCACTTACCTGAGGCAGAGGCCAAACTGAGCAAGAAAGCACAGCTCTGGCTGCATCCGCCGCCCCGCCCAGACGCAGGTCTCCCCGTGCTTTGGCCTGGCCCGCAGTCAGGTGGGCCTGAGCAGCTCGAGGCGTCAGCAGGATGCTCCCTCCCAGGCCCCAGCCCGAGCACGAGCCTCCCTGACCTGCACAGGCGCCCGCACTCTCCTGCTGACCAGGGTCCCAGCCATCCAGCCGTGAGAGTCACACAGCCAGCGTCCCCACATGTCTGCACATCTGAGGGGGGCCAACTCCACGGGCAAGGACCATGTTGTGGTGGTGGGATTGCAGGCGGAGGGCAAGGAAGACCATAGAGGGTGAACCGGGGGAGAATGGGAAGGGTGCTCGCTCACTCGGGTACAGTCACCACACCTTTCAGAACAAGAATGGAGACCATCCCACATGCAGGGCTTGTCATGCGGCTCTGGCCTGTTCGAGGTCACCTAGCTGTAGCCTGTGGTGGGAACGCTGGCACTTTGGGGGCGCTCAGAGGCAGGGCGGGTGGCAGATTATTGAATATCGGCCCCACCATGTCACTGAGGGCCGCCTACCCAGAGGGGCTGGTCTTCTCTGCACCCTCAGGGCCTAGGAGTGCTGTCCTTCCTGGGGGCTGGCTGAGGTTACAGAAGTGGCCTTTAGCTCCCCTGGAGGGCGTGCCACTCAGATGGGGTGGCACAGAGCCAGGTGGAGGGGACTGGCTTCAGACCACGTGCCTCTCCCCACAGTTTCCTGGTGTCATTGGCTGGTGGCACATGTGTCCTGTCACCCCCAGTTACCATCTGCAAATGGGTGGGTTGGGGACTTGGGAGAAGGCCTGGTGGCCTGGCCGTTAGGACCGCTCCTCTGTCCTGCAAGCCCACCTGGGACCTCCACTCTGCACCCCATCTTGGGGGCCATGTGCCCAGGCCCCTCCACAGTCAAGTGCTCAGAGGGGTCCCACACTTACTGTGTGTCCAGAGCAAGGAATTTAACTTCAGCATCTGCCCCACACACCCTCTTGCCGGTCCATGGTCCCCATCCTGCCCCTGCCACAGGGCAGAGGGGTCACTCCCTGACCCGAGAGGGGAGGGTCCTCCTGCTCACAGCCACTTACACACCTGGGGTCCGTGGGGCCTGGGGTCTCTGCCCTCCTGTCCTGCTCTTCACCCCTGGGCTCTGCAGGGTGATGGAGGACCCCATCCAGACACTACAGACCCGGGGGCAGCTGGCCTGCGGCTGCTGGTCCAAGCTGGGCCCAGGGCCGTCTCCACAGCTGCTGCCGGCCAGAGCCAGGCCCCGATGGCTGCCCCTCCATCGGTTTGCTGCCTACGTCTGCCCTCCCACAACCTTTTTGTGCTTAAACAATTTTTTATTTCTTAAAGACGAAAGCTATTTGGTTTTAATACACAAAGTAAGTGAGGTCCTTGGTGAGCTCCTGCTCCACCTGCCGGCCCAGCCCCTGCAAGGGCCACGGGCCGAAGTCTCTAGCGATCAGTGGTCCAGGACGAGGGGCTGAGCTGGGCTTCGGCCTCTTAGCAGCCTCTCAGGCCCAGGAGGCAGGGCTGGGGAGAAGGGCCAGGGGAGCCCGCCCAGCCTGTCCTGGGGATGGGCAGGGGACAGGAGGTGGTCACTGTCCTGCGTGTCTGCCCTTTCCTGTTGTAGACCAGGGAGGAGGCCGGGTTCTGGGGGGCAGGTTCAGTTCACCGTGGGCACCTGGCTGTGGTGCAGGCTGAACTCCTTGGCCTTGAGGCGGAGGCTGGCGATGCTGTTGGCCATGTTGACCCCCGGGGTCGCAGGGCTGGAGCCTCCAGGGCTGTAGGGTGGCACCGTACTAGGGGCAACAATACACAAGGACACATTTGGTGTGGCTGGCATGCTGCCCGGGGCACCTCCAGCTGTTGGTGCTGGGCCCCAGCCTCTGGCCCGCCTGCCTCCCCCCTCGGCGAGCTCTCCTGGGAAGCCGTCCCCTAGGGGTGGGGGTGACCAGGACAGCAGGGTTTGGGGAGGAGTCAGCGCCCACGGCCAGCATTAGGGCGCGGAGCCGCCCCTGTGGGCTTGTGGGACTTTCTCGCTGCACCGGGGCCTGGGGCCTGTTCACCCAGCACCCGCGTGGGGCCCGGAGCGCAGCAGGACTGAGGCGAATGAACACACACCTGCAGTTAAGGGTGCCTCTGGGTGAGGTAAGGACAGGGCAGGGCAGGGAGGGAACTGGGAGAAATTCAGGCATCACTAGGACATCACTAAGTGTCGCTAGGACTCCAGCCGACCTGCTGGATCTCACCGTCAACAAGATCAGGGCTCCGGCAGAGCCGCTCACACTGAGGGGCAGATGGCGCCCCCTGGAATTGTGGGGAACAACCCAGCTCCCCAGCACCCCCTCCCTCTTCCGTCTCACCCAGGCACCTCGGGGCCTTTTTCCGGCTTTGACCATGGTGGGGGGGACACTGCCCCAGAACTTGGCTCCGGACCCCAGCCAGGCCTCCAGGAAGGGAAGCCGGTCCCTCAGGCCTCCCGCCTCCGCCTCTGGCAGGGAGGGCGGGCTCAGGGTGCTGGGGCTCCAAGGGCCTGGGAGTGACGTGGGTTCCCCCTTCCCCTCCAGACACATTCACATGCACGTGTATGCTGTGCACACGCACGCTCCTGTGTACCCCCAGGCCGGCATGCACACTCACAGTCATGAGCACACGCATGTGCATACATGGTCACACTCATGCAACACACACGCATACTCCTACCACACCCACACGTGCACACTCACGAGCATGCATCGCACACTGGTCCACGTGCCACTCGGCGGCCCCAGGTTCAAGGGGCTGCCGGGCACCACTCACAGGTCTCTCCAGATATTCAGGGGAGCCCGAGCCCTCCCGTGCCCCCGGGACGCCCTGGCGGCCGCCCCTCCCGACTGCCAGGGGCAGGGGCTCACCTGTAGGGGGACGAAGCCGTCCAGGAGAGATACTCTGGGCTCAGGGCAGTGGGCCGGGGAGCCACGGGCTGCTCGATGGCGGCCTCCTGGCTGTAGGACTTGAGCAGCGAGGCGGAGCGGTTGGCCAGCATGGCCCGCTCGTTTCGGCGGAACTTGGCCCGGCGGTTCTGGAACCAGACCTGGGGGAGGAGAGTGGTGAGCGGGGTGCCGCGGCCACAAAGGGGACCCAGGACCTTCTGGACCCAGCACGTGCCTGCTCGGCTACCAATCCTGAACCGGCAGCCTCACCTCTCTGGGCCTCCGCTTTCTCATCCGTAAAATGGGGGTGCAGGGTGACGCCCGCTGCTGGCTAGGTGTGTGGGTGAACGGGCCGGTGAAATGAGTGAAAGGGAGACTCACCGAGCACTGAGCGGCCGTGAGGCCAGCGGGAGAGGGGCATGCTGAGCGCTCAGCTCCAAGCGGCACCGAGGGAACGCTTAACACTTTAAAACGACTTTTACTTATCAAAACCCTCTGTGGCGGGCACTGCTCTGAGCGGTTTACAAACATAGCAACTCCTTTAATTCTCAGAAGAACCCTATAAAATAGACCCCACATGATCCTCATTTTACAGGGAGGTGCCTAAGGCACAGAGAGGTTAAGCAACTTGCTCCAGGTCACACAGCTAGCACGGGGCAGGGCTTGGATTTGACCTCCAGCCCTCCTGGCCGCAGATGACTCAGCTCCTAAACATCTCACCTTGGCGACTCCCCAACCCCGCGCGGCCGGCAGGCTCACCTGGACGCGCGCCTCGCTCAGGTTCACGCGCCGGGCCAGCTCCTCCCGCACGAAGGCGTCGGGGTAGTGCGTGCGCTCGAACACGCGCTCCAGCGCCTGCAGCTGGCTGCTGTTGAACGTGGTGCGGTTCCGCCGCTGCTTCTTCTTCCGCTTGGTGGCACCGCCACGCCCGGGACTGGGACAGTCACCTGTGGGGAAAGACAAGGTCAGGAGGGCGGAGGACAGCCCAGCCAGGCGCCTGCTCTGCCTTCGCACTGAGCTCTTTAGTGGGTCTCCCTCCAGGGATGGGCGGGCCAGGCCCCGGGAGCAGGAGCACCTCCCTTTGGTTCACTCCTTCGTTCATCACCAGTCATTCATCCAACACAGACTCAGTGAGCACCTACTATGTGCAGGCTCAGTGCTGGGGCCCCGGGATACAATGAACAAAAGCAACCAGGCCCTACCCTGTGGGGCCAGGGGTCAGGCACCTGCGGCCACGAGGGACAGCTGACCTGGCCAGGGAGGGTCCAGGAGACACCTGGGTGTCCCCAGCACCTGGTCCAGGCTCTAGGCCGTGGTAAGCCCTCCAATGATATTTGGTGTTTAATTATAATTATGCATAATAAAGACCAGTAAAGGTCAGAGTTCAGAGGGCCCGCCGCACGCAGGCTCTGTAGCAACCACAGGTCGCTGGGTGCTCACAGGAACCCTACAGACAGGCGCTATTAACCTCCTCACTCCCAGCTTATCGCGGGGCAGGAAGGAGGGTGTTCAGCCATTTCCACACTCAAATTTTATCCAGGGGCAGAAATGCTGGCCCTTTATCCCCCGGGGCCCAGCTCACTGCCCACTCCTCCAGGGAGCCCTCCCTGACCCCCCGAGTCCACGTGGAACCCCCTCCCCTCCACTGAGCTCGCCCAGCACTTAGAACCAGCACTGCCTAGTTCAGCACTTTCTTGTGTGCCTGGTTTTCTTATTGGAAATGTGTATTTTAATAACAAAGTAATGCCACTGCTTGTCACAGTAACCGATTCAAACAACGCAGAAGGGTATAAAGTCAAACCAAATCCTTCCCTCTCCCCGGCTCCACTCCCTGTGCTTCACAAGACTACAGACGTGCATTTAAAACAATGTACAAGCGCGAGATCACGCTGAACACGCTGGTGCTTCAAAAGGCCTATTCTTATTTGATAATAGTTGAGATACAGCTCCATTCGGGACAGCAAACCCCACCCTCTTTCTCTGGGCTTTCTTTAAAAATATCTACATATATCTATATATATCTATATCTATATAGAGATATATATAGATATATATCTTTATTGATTTCAGAGAGGAGGAGGGAGAGAGAGAGAAACATCAATGATGAGAGAGCTATTGATCGGCTGCCTCCTGCACAGCCCCCACCAAGGGCAACCTGGGCACCTGCCCGACCAGGAATTGAACCGGCAACCTCTTGGCACACGGGATGCCGCCCAACGAACTGAGCCGCAACATGGGCAGGGCAACATGGTCCTCTGTTCTTGCCAGTGCATATTTGGGACAGAGTCCTAGAATTGAGATTGCACGATGCTGGCGAGGCCCCGAGTTCCACCATGAGTCCCACCAGCAGAGCAGGGAGGCCTGTTTGGCCCCGTTTGGCCCCGTCTGCCCAACAGAGCATGTTGTCCACCTTCTGGATTTTAGTCCACACCTGTGCTTCTGCTTCTCCAGCGACACACTCCCTTGGTGCGTCCTGTGTTCCTTGCACAGGCCTGTACGTTCACTCAGCCGAGTTTCTAGAACGTTCCAGGCCCTGCGACGGACACCACACAATCTCTGCTTTCAAACAAGCTCCCAGGTGAGCCGGGTCTACTGACTGTTGAGCAGCCGACCGGTTCATGTCTGAGGCTAAGCTGTTCCCTGAGGCTGGTTAGTGACTGTATAGGGGGCCTGGGGGGGG